CTGCTCTGCTGAGACTCATGGTGACACCAACCCCAAACTCCCTTTACGTTCCTTTTTTTCTGCTTTAATTTTTAATCGCCCGTGGGAATGACATATGTTTCTGAAGGCTGGAAGCGGCTGCCGCCGGGATCGGGTGTCAGGGTGTTGGGGTGCCGGAGCGGGGGGCACGGGCAGGGAGAGTGATGCCGGCCGTCACGGGCGCTGCTGGGGCCGGCCGGGCCGTGCGTGCGGTGATCCCACAGGCTGTGGTATTTTTAGAGCCTGGCTGCCCGGGAAAGCGGCGTGGAAAGCCAGGCAGCACATTGCGTTCCTGCCGGCCACGCGTGTCCCATGCCAGCCGGCGTGGTGGCCCGCTCTGCCGGGGCAGCTTTGAACGCCCCACTGGAGAGAAATCTTCCCCAAGGGAAACTGAGGCACAGCAGGTGGCTGCTGAACTTGGGGTCTCCGAGCTGGGCTAGCTCTGTGGTGGCACGGGTGAGACAGGGGACCTGGCAAGTCCCCAACAGGTGGGATGGAGGGGAAGCAGAGCCCCGGCTGGCTGCGGAGGGCATGGCTGTGCTGAGCTGCCACGGAGGAGATGGGGAATTTTCCACTGGTGTTTGGATCAGGCCCAAGGTGAGCTGTTAGACCTGCCTGGTCCCCGCTGCTGGCCTCCCTGTGGCTTCATGGGGGTACCCCAGAGAAAGCCCTCTATGCCCCATGACACTGACCTGTCTCCCAGAAACAAGCACTGGTGTGCCCTGGCTCCAGTGGCCAGCGGTACTGGGGGGCAGTGGGACACCCCAGGCCACCCGTGGGTGGCATGGGGGATGCTGGCACTGCGGGGGATCCTGGCTGAGGTGCAAAGGGCCCTGCAGCACCCGGCCGTGCTGCAGCTGTAATCACACGCTGGGGCTGCAGCCACGGCAAACAAACAGGCATCGGCAGAGCCTATTTTCCTTGGCACGTGGGGACGGGGGGAAGGAGCGGGATCCCATGGGCTCCTTTGGAAGTGCAACCCTTGAGAAAACAGAGGCGGGTCAGGGATAGGATGGGCCCCCCATGCCCCCAGCTCTCTTCACCGCATGGGTCTCAGCCGCCTTGTGCCTCTCCAGCTGCTGACGCAGGTCCAGGGCTGGCTGGGTCCCCCATGCCAGTGGGGCACAGTCAGCCCAGTCCTGGTGTCCCCATGAAGTGGATACCAGGCTGACAGGGTGGTCCAGTGGTGAGAGTGGCACAGGCAGGGGCAGAGGTGGTGCCATGGGGCTTGGGCAGATCATGGCCCCTGGTCAGGAGAGGGGGACGTGCTGGGGCACACGAGGCTGTGGCTGAGGCCAGTCCCTCCTGTGACTTCCGTGCTACCTGCAGTAAATGGCAGCTCGGATATTTCGCCACTGACAGCTTGGTGTCATCCTGCCAGGGATGGGTGTGTTTTGAGGAGTGGGAACTCCTGGAAAACACCTCGCTTTCAAGGCAAAATGCATCTCCAGAGGTGCGATAGAAAATCTGACTTGTTCTTTTACAGGCATTGCCTGCCCATCAGTCCCTGCAGTGCCACCACCTGTGCCACCATCCTCCATGGGTGACCCTGTGCTCCTGACGGGCAGTGTTTTAAGTTTAAAGCAAACCCCATCATATAGCCTAGAACAGCCAGAGATGTTTTGGGCTCAAGCTGGCATCTCACCCAGCCTTTCCTAGAGCCAGGCTGGGTGCCACCAGCCCCGTGCTGTGCCCACCCTGTCCCTGTGCCCATGCTCTCAGCTGCCTCTGCCACCTAAGCTTGTACCACAAAGACTCAAGCCAGCCTGTGTCAGCAACAGCCTGGGCTGTCCCAGTACTGGACACTGCAACCCTTGCCTGTCTTCAGCTTCCCCACCTCTCTTCCCAGGTTGCCTCGGTAGTGGTTCTGGGATGTGGGAGGACATGGCGGGGTGGTGGTGGCTGATACCTGCGCCATGGCCCCATCTTGGGGGTGTGCCTGGCAGGGGATGCCGTGGCAGAGCCACACCATGGCTCTGGTGCTGGAAAACCCACCCCGTGGCCCCACCACGATGTTTGGCTCTACCTCCCCCTTCTCTGCAGTGCCCTTCCCCTCCCTGATGTGTCCCAGACCCCAGCACGTCTGTTGCTTTGGGACAGTGGCCACGGGCCAGCTCAGCTGTCGGCACGTCCTGTCTGCAGGCATGTTCCCAGGCTCAGGCAGAGCTGTCCCCCAGAACATGGGTGACACTTGTGCTCTTTGAGGGGAGACCCTGGATGGGCAGTGCTGTTGGTATGATGGGGCAGAGGTGGCCCAGAACTGCCCGTGTAGGTGTTGGTTCTGCCAGAGCCCTGTTAGCCAGGACAGCAGCTTCCAGAGCCGCTTGATCCTTCTTGTTGCTACCAGTTCTGCCCTGGCTGCAGCACTGGGGGCATTGCCTGAGCCATGGTATGGTATTTGGGGTTGAAAGTCCAGGCAGCCCTGGGGTGAGGTGAGCCCAGGAGCAGTGTCCACTTTGCCCAGCTTGTGCTGGAAGCATGAGTGGGGCAGGCTGGCATGGCTGGCTGGTGGGGCTGTTGTCTCCTGAGGGGCTCTGGTGGAGCTATCTCAGGAGGGTCTCCAGTAGATCTCTCTGGGGTGGGACTACAGTGGAGCAACCCAGAGGGGCTCTCCAGCCATGCACTGGGCAGGTTTGTCCCTCCCTACAGCTGCTGGGGTCCTCATGCCCCATGGGGGTACCCCCCAGAGCCCTTACCCCAAAGGTGAGGTGCCTGGCTATCCCTGAACAGCTGGATTTATCCCTTTGGGTGGCTGCTTCCCTTGGGATAGGTGGGATCACAAGACTGCCTTTGCTTGTCTGGGAGATGGAGGAGGGGAATGCCATAGGTTAAAAACAGGTTTGGGGTGCTAATTTTAGGAGGGCAGGTTGTGGGGAAAGCCGCAGCTGTGTGTGCTTCAGGAGAAGGGCAGACCTTGCTGCCAAGGCTGCCCCCAGAGAGTTGTCTGTGGAGGGGCAAGGGGATGGGGGATTCTCTGCTGCGTGCCCTGCTGGGGTCAACTTCCCTGGGGAGGTGTTGCCCAGGGACCCCCAAGGTTTGGACTGTTGCCCCAGATCTGCCCATGTGCCCACACACCCCTGTGCCCACAGCAGTGCTGGAGGCTGACCAGGGACCCCAGGCTGAGGGTCACCCCATGCCCAGTGGTGGTGCTTGGGGTAACCCTGGGCCTGGGGCTGGTGGCAGTGGGGGGACACAGGTGGCATCCCTGCCCACTTGCCCACACTGCCCGTCTCTCTGGGCACGTTCTGTCACCAGCACAGCCCCAGGGAACATGAGACCTGTGTGCCCAGTTCTGCTGAAACCCGAACGGCCACCTGGGCAGGCGGGCACGGACGGGGGGGCTGCTGTGCCCCTGGCACACACCGGTGGCAGTGGGATACCTGGCTGCCATCACGCAGGCCGGCAGCTGCGGCAGGCTTGGCGCTAAAGCCGGATTACCACCCGGAATAGTCCCACGGCCCCAGATGGGCCGGATTAGTTAGGATTCATCTGCAGAGGGAGAGGAGATGGGGAGGGGGTCTCTGCCCTGTGGGGGTCCCTGGCCTGGGGCAGTGCTCACCTGCTGCTACCTTTATTCCTCATGCTTGGGAGCAGTGGGTGCACCCAGGTGGGTGACGTGGGCTGTGGGGATGCAGTGGGTCATGGCCCCCCAGGCTGGTGCTGCCTGGCACAGGCTGGCAGGCACTGGCTGCCTTTCCCCTGGTGTGCCATGTTCCCACTGGCACAGTGTGCACTGGTAGGGATTCTGCTGTGATGAGGCTTGACCGGGGGAACCAGCATAGTGCAAGAGTCAGGCTTTCCCAGGGTGGTCCCTGTCCTCCTGGACACATTGCCACATGCAGTGGAGTGCCATCTGACATTGTCTGCAGGCATTGCCGACAGAGATCCCCAGCCCCAGCCCCCTGCTCCTGCCTGTGACTTGCTCCCAGATGGGATTTCCCACCTTTTAAATAAGTCTTTGTGGCAGAGGGATGCAGCCCCTTCCAGGACCAGAACCCTCACCATGGTGCCCTGGTCCCTGAGAAAAGCTGACAGGGGGCTGGGGTGAGTCTAGGACTGCCTGCCTGCCAGGTCAGGGCAGGGATCTGGGAACCCTGCCGCCCTAAACACATGTGCTTATCCCAGCGGGGGCGGGCAGGCGTCTGTGCTGGCTGGGATGCGGCGTGTGAGACCAAACGTAGCCTCCCCTGGTGTGCAGACATGGCCGGCGGGAGGGTACGTGCTGCCACATGCATCCAGCTCCGTGTTCCATCTGCAGGGGCTGTGGGACGGCACCAGGACCTGGCTCGGGCTGCCTGGCCACGACGTAGTGTTGGTGGGATGGATGATGTCCCTGGTGCCATCAAGCAGTGGGACAGCAGGAGCAGCCTGGGAGAGGTGGGAGGTCTGTCTGCAGTGGGGCTGTCCCTGTCGTTATCACCCAGAGCAGGCAGCCAGTGGAGAGGCGCATGCTGGGAGATCGATGCAGCTTGCTCAGCACCCCCAGGAACACGGCCCTGGGTGCTGCAGCGGGGGGGGTTCTGTGCCCGTGCACATGGCCAGGCCCACAGCATCAGGCTGGGCGAGCGGGTGCTGGGGCTGCTGGTCAGGAGGGGGATGACACCAGGCAGCACATGGGCTGCCCAATGCGGCAGAGAAGACGGCAACATCCCGTCTTTGTGGTGGCACCCTGAGGGAGCTGATCCCTGGGGAGATGCTCTCTGTCCGGAGCAGAGGGTCCCCAGTTGAGGTGGGCACACAGTGAGAAAGGTGAAACCACCACCCCCAGCCCAGGGAGACCCATGCCACCCCTTCAGGGCCACCAGCCACTCTGTATTTGTTGTTCTGCCCAGCCTTATCAGAAGGCAAACAGCGGCAGGCAGGGCACGCGCTGCCCGATCGAAGCGTCTTCCGCTCCCTCCCCTTTCATCTCCCCCTCTGCCCTGGCCACTGCCACCAGGAGACCCTGGCCGAGGGGCAAAGGCCAGGGCCAGCTGGGGAGGTGGTAGCAAGTGGTGTCGTGGCTGTACCAGGGCTGTGCCAGGGCTGCCTGGCGGGAGGAAGCGTCTGGGTGGCAGCACGAAGCCTGGTGCATGCTGAATGAGCCCGGCCCTGCCGCTTGCTATTCCGAGAGGCGCTTGGGGGAAGAAGCTGGTATTTCCTGAGCTGCCCAGAGAGGTGTAATTATAACCTGGGAGAAGAAAGGGTCTGCAGAGGAGAGTGCCCAGCCTTCCTGGCGCCCGCGGGGGAGCGGGCAGGGGAGCGGGCAGCTCCTGCCTGCCACCGGTTGGATGTGGTGAGTCCTGACCGCAGGTAACACAGTGGCACTGGGGGGCTTGGAGAGGTGATGGAGCATCAGGGATCTGGTGGCCCCTCTTGATCCCCTAGCAGGAGTGGTGGGTTTGGTGTTGCCTGCCTGTGGCAGTGGGAAGGCGCAGAGTTAACGGTGGCGTTTGGACGTGCTGGCAGCCTTGTTTGTGCCTGGATCCATCCCAAGCGGAGGCCTAGTGGAGGGGATAAATCATCACCCAGAGCCCGCCCTGCGCTTCCCTCTCATCCCCCGCATGTCTGAGCCTTCCCATTCTGGTCCCTGCTGGTCTGTGCTCTGCCTCAGTTTCCCCATCTGGCTCGGTGCTGCAGGCAGGGTGGCTGAGACATGTGCCCCCCATCTTGGGCCAATCTTACGGGCTCAGCCCACCTGACAGTGCCAGGAGCCATTGTGTGGCCTGGGATGACCCTGCCAGGTCGCCTTTGTGGCCTGGATGGGCAGGGACATACAGGGCAGCAGCTCAGGAGACCGGAGGTACTAGCACCCACACCCTGCCGTGTCATCCTTCCCTTGCGTGCCAGGAGGACTGCTGTACCTTACTGTGCTGTGGGAAGGCTCCCCTGGTCTCTAGGGACACCAATCCCCTGCGAACATAAAGACGAGCTTGTCCCCTGCTCACCCCACGGGAACCCTAGGCACCGGGGGGACGGGGCAGCAGCATCCTCCCGGGGTTGGGGACCAGACTGCATCCCCGCCAGCCCTCACCTCCAGCTGGGTGGTATCATCTCTTGGCCGGATGTAGCCCCAGCAAGGAGTCCCCTGGCCAGCCGGACAGGACCCCAGCCCCCCGGGGCGGCGGGGGGTGGCGGGACCCTTCCCCGGCTGCCAGCCTGCCCCAGAAAGCCACCCTGTGCCGTTTCCCAGCGGGGCGGGGAGGGCCGGGACTTGCACAGAGGCGGCTTTGTGCGGCGTGCCAAGGCGTCCCGCGCTCGGCAGCCCGGCCGCCTTCCCCTGCCAAGGAGCTGTCTCCCGGCCCCGCGCTCTTTCCTGCTCCGTTTGTCCAGCCCTGACGTGCCCCCAAGCCCCCCGCCTTGGCACCCCGGCAGCGGCGGGACGCGGGTGAGCCCTTCGCGCCGGGCAGCACCACAGGCTTTACATAACGGTGGTGGCTGGGGGGTCCCCGAGCTCCCCACCCCGTCCTCAGCCACTCTCTCAAACGGCCCTGCTCGCCTGTCGGCGCCCGTCTCCAGGAGGGGAAACTGAGGCACGGAGCCGGGAGCTGAGGGCAGGGCAGCAGAGGTGGGCAGGCGGCGGGGATGGGGGCTCTGGGGCCGTGGTGCGGGCAAGGGGTGGGGGGGTGGGCCGTGGGACGGCTGGCCAGGCAAGGGGACTGTTCCGCCTTGGGACACCAGTGCAGCTGCTGGAGCTGGGGCAGAACTCCACGGGGCGTTATGTGCTGAGCGGGCAGAAGGGAGAATCCAGACATGGTGATGCCTGGCTGGGTGACCCTCTCATCCCTAGGTACCTGTTCCTGCAGAGCCACCAGCACAGGTGCTGAGCCCATTTCCAGTGTCACTGGTGGATGCAGGACTTGTGAGACTTTAGGCCAGTCTCTCTGGTGCTCCTGCCCACAGCTGGACCTCTGTTGCCCCCCTCTTGCAGAGCCTGAGGAGAGCCCACAGCGAGCCCAGCTGTCTCCCAACCATGGATACCACGGACGTGCCCCTCCAGGCCGAGATGGTGGAGCTGGTGCCCAATGGGAAACACGCGGCCACGCTCACCACCTCTGCTGTCCCCTCACTGGCGGGTGACAGGTAGGGACCTCGGGGCAAGTGGGAGTGCCAGGGATTAGGAGGGGTTCTCCTAGCTGCTCCCTGCCCTTGCAGTACCAGCCAGTGCTGATGGCCCCTGGCTCTGCTTTGGCTTCACCCCTCTCCCTCCATGGCCAGATTTGAGGAGAACCAGACTGGTGTGGCAGAGATGGAGGAGTTCCTGCCCCACGGTGCCGAGAAGAAGCAGACACACTTCACTGATGTGAGTATCGGCGTGGGCATGGTGGTGGGGATGGGATGGGGCTAGTTCCCAGTGTAATTGGTGCATCCCCTCCCCGCTGTGTCCTGTGAACAGTTCGAAGGGAAGACGTCTTTTGGGATGTCTGTCTTCAACCTGAGCAATGCCATTATGGGCAGTGGCATCCTGGGGCTGGCCTATGCCATGGCCAACACCGGCATCATCCTCTTCCTGTGAGTGCCATGGGGACCTGGGGGGGTCTAGATCTGGGAGGCTCCTCTGAGAGGATCGGTGGGTGCAGGAAAGAAAGAAGTCTCTGACTTGGTGTGATGCAGGGACCAGCGTCCTGCTGGCTGAGCAATGCCCATTGCTGGCATGAGCCTGCCTGCTCTGCCGGGTGCTGTGCACCACTGGGGACATGGAGGAGGAGGGTGAAGGTTTGCCTTCTTAGTACCAGTTCAGATTTCCACAAGTAACCCAAAGGATGTGAACGACAGCTCCGTTGGGCATGCAGACATGGATCACAGGGTCCCTGCACCCTACGGCCTGTCTGCCCTGTGAGCATCCGGCCGGTGAGAAGCTGGTGTCCTGCCAGGACAGCTGCCCACAGGCAGAGCCTGTCTGTGCAGGGTTTGCTCCATAACTGTGTCTGAGCGCTGTGCTGTGACCCACTGGTGACTGTGCTGTCCTCCTGCAGCTTCCTCCTGACAGCGGTGGCCCTTCTCTCCAGCTACTCCATCCACCTGCTGCTCAAGTCCTCGGGCATTGTAGGTGAGTGCCAGGTCCTTGGTAGAGCTGTGCCAGGGGGTCCCATCCTGACCCTCACCCCACCACTGCTCCCCATCCCACAGGCATCCGTGCCTATGAGCAGCTGGGCTACCGAGCGTTTGGCACGCCAGGGAAGCTGGCAGCAGCCATTGCCATCACACTGCAGAACATTGGAGGTGAGGATGGGGCTGGGGGGACCTGTTGAGGCTGGGAATGAGGGATTAGGCCAGAGCACACCAGAACAGCACAACCTTGCTCTGCCCTGCAGCCATGTCCAGCTACCTGTACATCGTCAAATCCGAAGTGCCTCTGGTCATCCAGACCTTTCTCAACCTGGAGGAGAAGACCACGTGAGTGCCTCCTGCCCACGCTGCCTGCGTGTCTTGCCCGGACAGGCACCGGCGCTCTGGCTCCAGCTGTGCAGCCCATGGCAGGGATTTACTATCATTAAGCCACTACTATTTTTGATAACTGTCAGTGCTGAATAAGCCCCTGGGTGAGATTAAACTGAGCTGAACTTCCAATCCCTGCTCCTCACATCCCCTTGGGATCAGGCTTTCCTCCTTGAACAGAACCTGGGGCTGCAGGGTGGGGAATGGGAGCTCTGGTTGGGAATAGGTTCCCCTACCCCATGCCCACATCCCCACCAGCATCTCTAGTCCTTGAGGGTGTACCACTGTGGGGGTAGGCATGACCCAGCTGAAGGGCCCTCAGGGATGCTGCCCTCAGGGGTCCTCAAGGATGCCATCTCAGGGGTCCCCAGGGATGTTAGCACTGCAGGGATACCAGCCTCAGGGGACATCAGTACCCCTGAGGTTTGCCAGCTTCAGGGACCCTAAGAATGGCAGACAGCACCTGCAGTGGCTGCCTCTGCCTCCCTTGCCCCAGCAGAGTGGGGTGGTCAGCAGGCCCTCTGCTTCCAGGGACTGGTACTTGAACGGGAACTACCTGGTGATCCTGGTTTCTGTCACCATTATCCTGCCCCTGGCCCTCATGAAGCAGCTGGGTAAGTCAGAGGGATGCCACCCCATGGTCTGGCACCCTGGGTCCTCCCCTGGGTTACAGTGCCAGCCTGGAGCTGCTGGGCATGGAGGGGGCACCTAGGCAGTGCGAGGGTCCTGCCTGCATCCACTGGCCACTCTCCTTCCTCCTTAGGCTACCTTGGCTACGCCAGTGGCTTCTCCCTCAGCTGTATGGTCTTCTTCCTCATCTCGGTGAGCACCCTCTGGCACGTGCTGGTGCCTTGGGGTGCCAAGCATCCCTCCTGCCGGGAGGTGTGGCTGGGCTGGTTGCTGTGGGGACAGCGGAGACAGCGGGGACAGCGGGCGCTCGGGGCTGCGGAGACGCTGTGGCGGTGCTGTCAAGCTGCTGGGTTATTTTCGGCTGAAGGAACCGAGTGTCATGGAAAGGGAGAGGGAGAGGGTGCCGGGGGGGCAATCACACATGTGGCCCCTCCACGTGCCACTGCCCTGCTCTGCCCCGCTGCCCACCCTCGCAGGAGTGGGGGCGGGGAACCAGCATTGCCGTGGGGCAGCGCCGCCAAAGGGTGCCCCATAGAGGGGTCCCAGCAGGGGCACTGGCACCCTCCTGCTGGGCATTGTGCTGGCTTGGGTAGTGGGTGCTGGGAGTTGGTGGCATGAAGAGCTGACCATTCCCATGTGCCCCCTACCCCAGGTCATCTACAAGAAGTTCCAGATCCCCTGCCCACTTCCTGAGCAGGAGGGGAACCTTACGGGCATCCTCAACGTCACCTCTGTCAGCACTAGTGACTACCAGAATGACTACACTGTCCTCCAGGCCCCCGAGCAGGACACCTGCAGCCCCAGCTTCTTCACCCTGAACTCCCAGGTAAGGTCCCCTGAGGCTCTGGGTGAGCCCCCTCCCTGTGCACTCCCTGAAGACAGGTGGTCCTGCTGCTGACACTTGGCCCCCAGCAGTCAGTCAGTCGCCTTCCTCTTGCACAGACAGCGTACACCATCCCCATCATGGCCTTCGCCTTTGTCTGCCACCCCGAGGTCCTGCCCATCTACACTGAGCTGAAGGAGTGAGTCCTGGGTGGGGGCACCCACGGGGAGGGGTGGGCTTCGTCCGGCGCCCACCCAAAGGCAGTGCCGTCCGTGTGTGGGACCTGCGCCGGGGCATCGTGGGGAGGTGGGTGATATGACCGTGGGTGGGTGGGTGGGGGTGGTGGGTGACAGGACCTGGGATGGTGGATGATATCACCCCTGGGAGATTCATGATATAACCCAGCTTAGGTGATATCACCACTGGGAGGTGGGTGATGTGGGTCAGGATGGGCAGTGGGTGACACGACCCCTAAGATGTGGGTGGTATGACCCCTGAGGGGTGGGTGTTATGTCCCAGGGTGGGTGAGTGGGTGGTGAGTGGTATCACCCCTGGGAGGTGGGTGATGCGACATGGAATGGATGGTGGGTGGTATGACCCCTTTGAGGTCGATGTAGGTGGGTAGGTGGTTGATTGGTGCTGCGTGATCCAACACGCCACAGAGCCCAGGAAGGGGGGTGCAGCCCTTCTCCGCACAGCCCTCACACACCCCAAGGTGGTCTGGCAACGCCGCTCCTTGTTGGGTGGGTGCTCAGTGTCAGTGGGTGCCATGGGGCTGTGCTGAGCCCGCCGTCTCCCACAGCCCCTCCAAGAAGAAGATGCAGTGCATCTCCAACATCTCCATCATGGTCATGTACCTCATGTACTTCTTGGCTGCCCTCTTTGGCTACCTCACATTTTACGGTGAGCCCTTGGGGAGGGGGCTGGGTGCCCTGCTGGCACGTGGTGCCAGGGGGGTGGTGGTGCTGGGGCTCACCCAGTGGCTCCCCACCGGTGTCTGCAGGCCATGTGGAGTCGGAGCTGCTGCACACGTACATCAAAGTGGACCCCTTTGACGTGCTCATCCTGTGTGTGCGGGTGGCTGTGCTGACAGCTGTCACCCTCACCGTCCCCATCGTCCTCTTCCCGGTGAGTGGCCTTGCAGGAATGCCAGGTGGCTTCAACACCGGGCTTTGAGAGGGGAAACTGAGGCAGCGATGAAGACAGGAATTTGGGAACAGACATGTTGGGTGCCGGGAACAGGGCTGGGGCAGAGAGAGGGGTAATGGGGACCAGCAGGGCCATGAGGACTGGACTGGATGGGAAGAGGTGACAGGCACCAGTGGGGCATCAGGGTCAGGGTTTGGTCAGGGGAAGGGATGATGGTGATCAGCAGGATTGCAACGACAGAGGATGGGATGGACCTTGGCTCCAAGGATGGAGTGTGACACCCTGTTCCTGTTCCCAGGTGCGCCGGGCCATCCAGCAGATGCTGTTCCAAGGAAAAGACTTCAGCTGGATCCGCCACATCACCATTGCAGTGGTCCTGCTGACCTTCATCAACCTGTTGGTCATCTTTGCCCCCTCCATTCTTGGCATCTTCGGCTTGATTGGTAGGTGGCACTGCCCTGCTCCTGTCCCCCCTTGGGCATGGGGTATTGCAGCAGCACACCAGCCCCTGTCCTGCCTGGCACTTGGCTTTGACTGAGCCCCCCCGTGCCTCAGTTTCCCCTTCTCATTATGCCAGGACCATCTGGTGTACAAGGCATCCCCATCTCATCCCATCCCCATCCTGGAAGGCTGGTTCCTGCAGTGCAGTGGCAGCACTTGCTCTTCCCCTGCGTGTTTCTCTTGATCCCCCCAGTCAGGCTCCCCCCTCTCGGCCCTCAGCTCCCTGCCAAGGCCCTGGCTGCGGGAGGGGGGTGGGGACAGTGCCAGCACACCGAGTCCCTGAGTTCCTGGAAGGCTTTGCCAGGGCTGGGAGGGGGGTGAAGCAGGGACGGGGGCGGACAAGACCTGGCCTGGCAGTAGGGCTGGCAGGGCTGAGCCACAGCATGGGAGGCCCCTGCCCACTCTCTCACTGTCTGCTCCAGGTGCCACCTCTGCTCCCTGCCTCATCTTCATCTTCCCTGCCATCTTCTACATCCGCATCATGCCCAAGGACAAGGAGCCACTGCGCTCCACCCCCAAAATATTGGTAAGCGTGGGCAGGGGGTACAAGGATGGGGACAGGGACGGGGGTTCTGAGGCTGGTTGGGAACCCCATTGCCCTGGCTGTCCCTGAGCCCCTTCCTTGTCCCCACAGGCTGCCTGCTTCGCCCTCCTCGGGGTGGTCTTCATGATCATGAGCTTGAGCTTCATCATCATCGACTGGGCCACGGGTGGGGGCAAGAGCGGTGGCAGCCACTAGCCAGCACTGGGTGCCCACGCCAACCCCTCCCCACCGGTGCCCCAGGGAGAGCTGGCCCTGGGCTCAGTCCCCATGCTGCAGCCCCACTGGGATTCCCTGGGGACTTCCGCCCATCACCTGTGGTGGTGCTGAGTGGGCATGAGCCATGGCAGGCATGGGGACTCCTTGACCTGTGCCCGGGATGGGGCAGTGAGCCCGGGGCAGGTCCTGTGCCCCCCAGCCACTCCAACGGGTACCCTCCCTGCTCCGCGCCTCAGTTTCCCCATCTGTAAAATGGGGAGAATAATACTGCCCTACCTCACCCGGAGCTGGCTGTCAGGTGGAGCTTGTCTCTGCACCCCCAGAGCCGCCAGCAGCAGGCACTGCCAGGGGTGTGGGGCACTGCCCGCCGTGGGGACCGAGGACTGGGGGCACTTTCCTGACCCCACCCAGACAGCATCAAGAGCCCTGATGAACAGTGTCCCTGGTGGCTGGAATCTATCAGGGCAGTCAGATCTGTGACAGCATCTGTGCCCAAGCCACCCCCCCTCTCCCCCTGCAGTCTCCCAGTCCCCAAAAAGGGGCATCCTACCCGTGCTGCAGCTTGGCTGCTGGGGGCCTGGCACACCCGAGGGGCACAGGGGGCTGTGGGGTGGTCTGGGGACAGTGCTCACTGGGGGTCAGCTCAGGGCTGCAGAGGCACCCCCTGTCTGAGTGCCCAGATGCCAGGGTGATGGGCACCCCAGCAACCCAAACTGTCCCTGCTCGCCTTGCACCCTGGGCCAGCACCCAGGCCCCCACAGCCCTCACCCATCCATCCATCCATCCATCCATGCTGCTGGGACACCCCAAACCATGCCAAAACCTGGAGAGTGGCTCTCACACCCCCGGCCTCCCTTCCCAGCATGGAGGTCAGCCCAGCAGGGTGGGCAGCACAGGGTCGGGGCGTGTCTGTCCTGCAGCAAAGTACATAAGAGAAGTATTTTTTTATTGGGTGGTGGAGGCTGGGATGCTTTTTATAAATACTGTACATAAGAGTAGATCTTTTTCAATGTGTTGTGTTACTCTGGGTAGCTCTGCATAATGTACATATCATATGGGGAGGGAAGGGGAGGGGGTCACTGCAGTGGACCCTCGCCACCTGCCCGGGAACTGCTGGCTGCAGAGTGGCCCTGGTGTCCCTGTCCCCAGCCCAGCTGCCCGGTGGCCACCCCTGACACGTGTAAATTATTGGTGGGGATGGTGTCGGTGGCGGCGGGAGGCCGGTGGTGAGAATAAAGATGTGAATGTGCCCAGGTCTCGGGCGTCACTGGGACAGGCGAGGAGCTGGCACGCAGGCTGGCACCCAGCACACGGCGTCCTGAGGTGGCACGGACAGAGGGACACGCGTGCACGGATGTGTGTGAGGACAGCAGGGATGCACAGACACGGATGTGCAGGGTTAGTGCATGTGCATTCATGGCAGGACAGAGAGCATGGATGTACAGCAGGACAGCACAGACACATGGACACGGATGTGCAGGGACTCCAGTGGGAGAAAGACCCTTGTGGGAGTTGAACCCTGGGGAAATAGAACTCTTGGAGAGCAAAACCCTGGAGGAGCAGGACACCTGTGAAAGCAGGACCCCCAGGACAGTGGGACGTGTGGGAGCAAGACCCTGGGGAGTGGGAGCTGGAACCCCAGGAAGAGGGTTCTAGTATCTGTGACACTAGTATCTGTGGGGAGTGGGGCTCCTTTGGAAGCAGGGCTGCAGTAGAAGTGGGGCTGGGCCATCTTGTGCTCAGTGCCAGGGCAGTGAGTGTCCCAAGTGCCCCCCAGGCCAGCCCAAAGCCCCCCAAGCCCTCGCCCATGGCACAGTGTGGCGTGGGGGTGAGCCCCCCAGCTCCCCCAGCCCTGGCCCCTCGCTCCTCTCTGACGGTCCCAGGCCCGGGCTCAGCGCCAGCTTGTTAGTGAAGCCTTATTAGCACGGCAGCCCGCTCCCACGGGAACAGCCCTGCTCTGCCACGCTGAGCCCATGGGTGCAGACCCCACGGAGGATGCTGCCCCCCTTCCCCTGGCACTGCCCTTCTGAGTTAGAGCATGGTTGGCTGTCCTCACCCAGCTTGGTGGGTGCCAGTGGAGGGAGTGGGGAGGGGCTGGGAGGTCCGGGCAGGCATGAGGTGCTGCTGTAGGGCTGGCACGGAGTGAGGGCGGCTGCCTGGGCACGGGCCAGCCCCGTGGGGCAACTTGCACAGCCGGCCCACCTCCTCAGGTGTCGTGGGGGGTCTAGTTCCCAAGGGAGCACCCGTGGCAGCTGGGGGATGGGGCAAGCCCCTGGGGTGCCCCCTGTTCTGGCAGAGAGCTGCAGATGCCCCGTCCAGGCCAGTCCCATCCTGCCCCATCCCTTGTCACGGGCACCCCGAGCCCTGGTACCCACCGAGGAGCCCCCTCCTCCGTCAGTGTGGCACGTGGGTCCCTGCGGGCTGAAGCCCCAGGGGCAATGATGGAACAAGGGGATCCCCACGGTCTGAGCCACCACCCCATGACACCGCGTCCCCGCAGAAGGTGGCCCCGAGACAAAGCATCACCCACACAGCTGGCCCCAGGGCTGCACCTATTACTCTGCACCCAAAGGGCCCCAGTCCCAAAACGCAACACCCAGACTCCATCTCCCCCTCCACGTCTGTCCTGTGGCACACCGCGGCCGGTGTCCGCCTGTCCCTTCACACACCGTGTCCTGCCCCACTCCTGACCCTTCACACACCGTGTCCCCCCCTCAGTTCCCGTCCCCGCGTCCCCCCCGCGCCGTTTCCCGCCGTCGCCGCGCGGGGGCCCGCGCTCCGGCGGGCACGAAGCCCCGCCCCTCGGCCCCGCCCCGCCAGCGCCCCGCCTCATTGGCCCCGCCCCGCAGGCCCCGCCCCCCGGGCGCGCGCAGGGGCGGGGCGTGGCGGGGCGGGCCGGGCCGGCAGAGCCGCGGGCGCGCGCAGCAGCCGCCGCCGCCGCCATGGGCTGCACCGTGAGCGCCGAGGACAAGGCGGCCGCCGAGCGCTCCCGCATGATCGACAAGAACCTGCGGGAGGATGGCGAGAAGGCGGCGCGGGAGGTGAAGCTGCTGCTGCTCGGTGAGAAGCCCTCCGCCCCTCGGGACCCCTCCCCCGGGACCCCCCACCTCTCCCACTTGGCTTCCCCGTCCGGCCCGGCCCGGCCCTGCCGGAACCGAGCGGATCCGCCACCTCCGCCCCGCGTTGGCCCGGAGCGACCCCGGGTGCCAGCGTCGGGGGTGCTCGCCCCGCCCCGCCCCGCCCCGGGGATCCCCCATGAGTGGGATGCTGGCCCCAGCCCAGGCTGCGGGGTCCCCCCACAGTGGGCTGTCGGCTCCATCTCGGGCCCCGGGGATCCCCCCGGGAGCGGGGGGCCTGCCCCGCCCCAGGCTTCGGGTCAGCCCCCCGCCCGGGGGGGTGCTGTCCCCGCAGCAGGCCTTGGGGATCCCCCCCAGAAGTGGGGTGTTGACTCTCTCCCACGTCCCAGGGATTCCCCCCAGAAGTGGGGTGTTGACCCTATCCCAGGCCCCAGGGATTTCCCCCCAGGAGTGGAGTGCTCTCCGCACAGGAGACCCTGGGGATCCCCTCTGCGGTGGGATGCCTTCCCCTCCCCTCTGCAAACAGGATGCCAGCCCCACTTCAGACTTTGGGAATCTCCCAGGGAGTGGAGTGCTGGCCCTACAGCAAGCGTTGAGTATCCCTTGGGAGTGGGTGCCACCCCACCCTGTGCTGTGGGGTTCCCCCCAGAAGTGGCTGCCACCCCACTACTGTACTGTTCCCTCAGCCCGGTCCAGCCTGGGCACAACCCTTTGGGACACAGGTAGTGGCATCCCCACCCTCCTGTTGGATGGATGTCCACCAGCAAAGGTCCTGCAAGCCAGGGCACCCTGTCCTGCCTGCCCAGGACCCCCAACTGCCCGGCTGTACTGGGGAGTTCCTCCGTGGGCTCCTCTCACCCTGGCCTCGGGTTAGCTGTGGTGGAGGTAATGGGGCCAACAGGCATCCACTGCCCTGAGCCTCCCCACTCTGGGGCGTGGGAAAAGGCCTGAGCCCCTCAGTCACACCTTCCCTTTCTATGGGTAGCAAGGGGCTCAAACCACTGCCCATGGTGGGCAGAACCCCCACAATCCAGGGGCTCTCTGCCCCACGGACACTCGATTTTGGTGCTGATAACGGGCTGCTTGCGTTCTTCAAAGCGACCCAGCGATGCTCCCGTGGGCGTTCACAGCCCTGCCCTGTGCCTGCGGGCAAGGCAGCCGCTTCGTTATTTTAATTTATTATTTCTTCTAATGACTCTCAGTTGGGCTGTTTATTCCCTTTACGAAATTCCCAGGGAGAGCCCCGTTCCAGGTGTGAGGCGGGAGCGCGCGGGGCTCCCACGGCGCTCTGGGGCGGTGGGATGGGCAGCGGGATCCCTGGCAGAAAATGTCTTTTGGGCTCATCGCCGTCGGCAGAGGAAGCTGCCGGCAGCAGGAAGTCACGCCGAAATCCGGCAGCCCTTTATTTGCTCAACCCCTGCCTGCCTTGAGAAATACGTAATTAACGCCTCGAAACGCTCCTTTGTCGGAACGCCTCGCCTGTTTTCATTTTGCTCAGTTCTGATTTTGTTTTTGCCTTGGCGTGAGCTGTGCTGGCAGCAGGACCCGTCCTGGGGGTTTTGGGTGGGGGTCTGTGCTGTTGTGGGGTTTGCTGGTTGGGCACGGTTGCTGCCCCACTTCTTTCCAGAGGGGAGAAAGAGTGAGGGGAGTGAAACCCCCCGTGGGGTTTGCGGAATGGTAGGGAAACATGTGCCCCCCCTTTGCTGTGAGCTGTTCCCATGCGGGCCTCACTGCCAGTTCGGCTCCACTCGGACCACTGCCTGGTGGGAAGTAACGGGGACTGTAGCTGGCTGGGGGGGTTTGGAACCTCCTATGGGAGGCTCCTGGGACTGTCTGGGATGGGCAGCATCACACTGGTGGCACTGAATATCACTGAGGGGTGGTTAGGGGCTTGCCAGAGAGCAGGGATCGTGGTGTGGGCTGACTGGCTGACATCCCTTTCCTGGGTCTCGCTCTGTCCCGAAGTGGAGGCAGGAGGAGGAAGAGGATGTCCTCACTCCCTTCTGCTGGGGCCGGCATTTATGAGCGGCATTTCTGATCTCAGATGGTTTCTAAAGCCAAAAATAGAGCTAAGTAGCTCTTTCTGTGCATTTTCTAAGTTTTTTTTCCCTTCCCCTTGAAGCTGTTCAGGTGTCAATAACACCAGAGCCTTGGGTCATCACTACCCATTTCCGAGCTGAGCCATGGCTGGAAAATCCTCCCAAGCTGTCAGGGAGTGGCTGGGGAGGTGGGGCCAGCGCTGCTTCCCCCCAGGGGGCTGCTGCTTGCAACATCCCCCTCTGCAAGAACCCCTTTGGTGGAACCACAGTGCCAGGGGTGCTCCCACCACCCTGCTGCTCACCCTTCCTATGACTTATTTTTTTTTCCCTATGGTCAGGGGAAGCTTGGAGGAGACCCAAGGCCTCACATGAGTCCAGGCGGGTGCTTTTTGGTGGGCCCCACAGCTCCTGGTTGCGCTCAGCAAGGCAGAGCTCCGTGGTCCTCCTTGGGGGCTGCAGCCCTCCTGCCTCCTCCAGGAAAAGGGAGGGGCAAAAACTAAGGAGAAAAACAGCTTCACCCTTTGTGCCGCATCAACCTGCGGCACGAGGAGGAGATGCCTCTTCCAAGCGTGGCGTGTTTTTTGCTGGCAACCTGTGCTGTCCCACAGCCGAGGCTTGGGGCCGGGACACCGCTGCCGGCAGGACGTGGCGTGAGCGGAGGGTGATGGTCTCGTGTGTGGCAGTGGCACTGCGAGTGTAGGACCGTGGAGGGCTTGGGGCTGACTGGTGCAGCTGCTTTGGCTCTGTGCCATGCCCTGTGTGTGGTGAGCCTGCTTCTGCCTTTCCTGTGCTGTGGCAGTGAGCTGGAGAGGGATGGACGCACTGCCAGTGCAGGACCCCCCCAGTGGCGTGTGGATCTGCAGGCGTGGGCACAGCACCACTCCTGCACCTCTCGATGTCTGCAGGTTTTCCTCTGCCATTTGCTGGCTCCGGCAAACAGGTTGTGTGCTGGAAAGTTTGAAGCTCCGTTGTCTGATGGGAAGACCCAGATGAAGCGATCCTCCCCGACGAAGCAGTTCCCCACAAATAAACCAATGTCCCCCTCCCTGCCCCTGGAAACCTGCAGTCTCCCAAGGTTTTGGTGCTGGGAGAGGCCAGAAGCCACCACTGACAACTGAAAGCATCTGGAGCATCCACCCCATGCAGCAGCATTCCCAGCACTTCTTGGTCACTGTCAGCTCCTGGGCATCACCAGGACTCAAACCCCTGAAGCTACAACCTCCTTCTGGAGGTTCTGACCACCCCACCTCCCTGCCTGTGGGAGCTGGAATGCTCTGGGTTGGATGCAGGATTGGCAGCAGGCAAGTGATCACCATGTTCAAACTCCCTTATTCTTTATCTTTGGAGCATTAGGAAAGCAAAAGGATTTCTCAGCTGCACTAGAGGTGGGGAAGGCGCTGGTGGGTTGGTCCTGTCGATCCCCAGGGGTTTGCAGTGCTGCAGGTGCAGACCCCGGGACGAGGACGCTGCCCTCGCACCCCCCTGGTGGTGCCTCTGGGGGACATCACGCAGGAGCTGCCTGTTCCAGCCGTGGCTGGGGCGAGGGCGGCCAGGGCAGGGCTCGGAAGCCACTTTGTTGGTGGTTTTTTTTTTTTTGGGCTTGCATAAAAATAGAGGAAGGGAGGGACCAGCTGTGACTTTCGGAGGCTGTGTGGCCCCGGCACTGCCCTGGGTTCCGTGTGAGCCGCCTGGTTTGTTGTGCTTCATCCTGTCTCGCGGAGTTGTTTCTGTCCTCCCTCCTGCCCCAGCCCTGGGTGATGGGTTGTGTTCCCTTCACTGGGAACGCTGGGAGCCCCAGTGGTGTTTGTGATCGTGGACCAGGAGGTGTCATGGTGAACAGGGAAAAACTCAGTGCTGTTAGATCCAGAGGGGATCCCACATCCAATCCCCTGGAGCTGGTGTACAGACTTGGGATGGGATGGGATGGGATGGGATGGGATGGGATGGGATGGGATGGGATGGGATAGGAGGAAGGACCCTGGCACTCAAGCCCTGGGATGAGTCACTCTCATGCCCCCACTGGTGAAGTCCCAGGGGCAGGCAGCTACCCTCTGCTCCAATATGAGCACTTAGGCTTTGCCCAGGAGAAGCAGCAGGCTTATATGTACATATTTTACATATATTTTCATATAAGCATTAGAAATTCTATTTTAAAATACATATATATTGCATTTTGTGTGTATATATATATATACACACACACATTACTCTTTTGTATGGAGCAGTATACACATTGACTTATATATATCAAAAAGTGTGTATATATGTACTGCTTTGCCTATATATATGTAGCTTTATGGAAGAAGGTGTCCCATGGTGTGAGCCCACCCAGGGCTGTGGGTGCTGGTGAGTGCTGGGATCACGGTGTCCCCAAGCACTGTTTATAGCCAGGGCTGGCCTGGCCTTTCCGCAGCCACCGGGTTTCCTGCTCCAGGCCCGGAGCGCGGGTTTCCGGGCTGGAGACTGGTTGAATCACCAGAGCTGGGGGAGCTGAGTAATCCACCCTCCCATCGGTGGAAAACTCAGGCAGGGGGATTTGGGTGCCAGCGGGTGAGCCCCCGTCCCATCAGGGCAGCATGAAGGGGATGATGGCACCCAGGCCTGGGGGCACTCAGTGGAGGGGGAGAGGGACCGCTCTGGCTGTGGCAGGGTCAGCAACCGAGCAGCAAAGTCCCGGGATTCCTGGAAAAAGCCCGGCACAAGGATAGTTTTGTCCAGCTTGCGAACACCGGCAGGCCTTGTGGGCATTTTCCATGCTCCCCTTCGGAAACCATACCCAGCCCACCTTCTCCCTGTGTGCTCCGAGCATCCTTCCTGCTGCCAATTTATTTCTATTTTATTTACTTCTGTTGGTTTTTTTTTCTGCTGCCCTGGACAGGGGGGTCTGCGCCTCCCTGGTGCCCTCCAATTTTTTATGAGGTCCTGCCTGGGGACGTGGCATCTACCAGCTGTTGATGCACAGGCTCCTTCTGGGAAGCAGCCAGCCCTGTGCTGGAATGGGATGGCCCTTGGGAAAAACGCCCTATGGCACTGTGGGGTTTTAAAAAAATGCGATTATTTTTACAGCAATTTTCCATCTATTTTGGGTAGGAAGGAAAACGTTGAATCTCTTTTTATTGTTGGTTTTTGAGTCTTTAGGATAAATCTGCTTTAAGACATCCCTTTGACAGTCTCATTTGGTGGTGGGGACCCCACAGGTGCTGAGGGGGGTGGGCTCCACAGCCATCCCTTTGTTCAGCCATCCTTGTGTCCTGCAGGGAAAGGGATTGGTGAGTTTGTCCAGAACTAAAACCCATTGGTAAATCCATGCTCAAGTAATAGCTGCTGTTTGCCAGGCTGGGAAAACTTGCTGGGACAACGTCTGGGGATGGGGCTTCGGCTGCTGGGGATGGGGATGGCTCCGGACCCGCTGGTGGATTGAATTCCAGCTTTCCCTCTATAATAAGGCAAATTTTCCAGCTGTGCATTGCTTCCATCCATGCCTGGATATTTGAAGGCATAGAACGTGATGGTGCCGTGTGGAAAAATGGAAAATTCTCTCTTTGTGATGCGGGATGAGGTGGATCCTGAAACCTGTGGCCAGCTCCTAAAATATAGGGATTACATATGTGCTGCCCAGAACTATGTGCATGTATTGCATTAAATATCTACTGCCCAGAAAGTGTCGTAAATCGTGGGCTGCAAAATATATATGTTGGCTCAATAAACTTTTTGCCAGTAGATCAGCAGGGTGTTCTGGAGCTGGGCAGCTGCTTGCTTATTTTAAGTTTTGAAGATTATTTTTAACAAAAAAAGGAGGAAATGAGCTCTAGAGAGAGCTCTCCTCCTGTTTTGCCAAGCACTGCCCTGAGAACTGCCTGCTCCTGGCAGAGAGGCAGGGCTGGAGGAAGCACAGCTGTGGGGTCAGCCCATGGTGGTAGGGGGGTGTCTCTGCCTCCCCTGATGCTGCCAGGAGGGTCCAGAGGAGGCAAAGCCCCTCTGACAGCGCCTCGTCCTGCCTGGGCTGGGCTGGAGGGTGGAAGCCGGCGCTTGGCTTCCGGCCCAGGAATTGTTTTGGGGCTGAATGAGCGGCAGCTGGGGTTTTCCGGGGATTGGAAACCCTTCCCCTCCACTGCACTCACCGGGGGGGCCAGGGATGGTCCCCCACACGGGAGGGGGGGTATTAATTCAGACCCAAATTCCTGCTCAATGCAAGTGCACAGGCTCTTGTGCTAGGTGAGCTCCTGGTAGCAGGCAGAGGTGCTGACTTGGAACAGGGGGAAGCAGCATGACCACCTTCCTTATGGAACAGGGAAGGAGCCAGGAGACTCTGGGGAAGTTTGCAAGGAAATGGTCAGCTTTGGTGATGGTCACCCTGCGACTGTCACTCCTGCAGGCAGGAGGTCCCAGGGGATTGTTCCCTCCTGGCAGGGAGCAAATGTCAGGGTAAGGCAGAGCAGGAGAATGGGAAACAGCTGTCTGGCTGTCTGGCACCTGACCCCAGGGATGCTGATAAGCAGGATCCTTGCTTGTCACGTGCCTCAGTTTACCTGTCCAGGCACCCACCAGGGAAGGGCAGGGTGAGTGCAACTGGCTCTGGCCGCCCGACCCAGCAGTACACGGTGGTGGTGTCAGAAACCAGAGGTATTTAATGGAAAAAATGAAGGGATAGGCCGAGTCCTTCTCCCCTGCTCCCAGCTCCGGGCAGGAGTTGCCAGCACTGACCACGAGCGCTGGCTGGACTGTGCTGGGTGCCGCGTCAGCATCCCAAAGGCACCGGGGAAGGATCGGTCCGCAGTGCTGGAGAGCCCCTGCTGTGCTGAATGGTGACCTCTGAGCTGAGCAGAGCCTCTCCCTCGACACATACAGCTCGGGAACCATGGAGCACGGTGCTCCTGGCAATGAATACAGGGTCTGCATAGCCTCAGTCTGGCCCCAGCATCAGGGTGCTCTGTACCCTGAGCAGTGCTGCGGTGGTGTCCCTGGGGGTACGTGTCACCTGGGTGGCATTCAGGCTGGGGACATGTGCAGAAGGAGTTTGGGCCCTGTTCTTGCCAGTTAGTTTTAGCATAATCTTTTTTTTTTTTTCTAATTTTTTTTTTTAACCTCTTTGTAATCTCTCTGCCCCCTCTGCGGCCGTGCTGGCACAGCCCTTCTTGGGGCCCCCCAGAAGGGCAGCTCCGTGGCTGAAGGCAGTGTTGGGGACACAGGAATGGACTGAAAATGTACAGGAATGCCACTGAGAGGGCTGTGAGAGGACACAGGAATGGACTTGGCTTGGGGAGATCCCCTGGGACCTGCACCCAGAGGCAAGGACCATGCTGTTCCCCAGCCAAAAAGGCCTTATCCTGGTGAGGGTCCTCAGGGCGAGACCAACCAGGCACTCATCCATCTTGTGGCACTCCCTGTCCAGAAAGGGGACAAGGGACATGCACCGCCCCTTTCAGCTTCCCCTTTCAGCTTCCCCTTTCTTGTAACCAGGGTGACTTTGCTGCTTCCCTGCTTGCAGCTGGGGTGGGAGGGCTGGGCAAAGCTGCACGTTGCCTGCGTAGGGATGACATCCCTGAGGGGGACAGGGTGGTGAAGAGGTTACCTTGGGCACCCTGGCTGTCCCTCTGAACTTCTGGAACCCTATGTTTGGATGCTGGAAAACGAAATGACCCCAAAAGCCGCCGTCTTTCCCTGCTGGCAGCTGCCTCTGCAGTGAACTGGGGCACAGGGCCTGGCAGGTTGGGAAGTGTGCGCTATTTAAGAACCAGTCGGGGGTGGCTGGTCCCGCTGGGATCGCTCGAGCTGGCTGGCGGAGGTGGCAGCTTCTTCCCGAGTTCCCTGCCTGTACCTGGTGACATGAGCATCCCTGCATCCTGGCCTCTGCCTGCTCCAGCCGTGGGCATGCAGCGAGGCTGGTGTCCATCGTCCCCCAGCACATGGGATGTGGTAGCTAAGCTCAGGTTGTGCCTGGAGCTGGGATGGCACGTGATGGACAAGGCTCGGCCACCCCACCACAGGGAGTCCCCAAGCTCAGCCAAAGCTGGGGCTGCGGCATGTGGTGTCGTGGGCAAATGTTAGTGTGTTGATGCCATTTTCCTGGCCCAGAGCAGGTGTCATTTCTCCCCTCAGGAACTACTGCGAAGTCCCCCACAGGCTCCCCTTTACCTCCCTCTTTCTTGGTCCTGATATTCCCAGTGCCCCTCCAAACATCTGCTCTTGCCAATGCTGGGAGCTCTTCTCTGGTGGCTGAGGCACCTGCTGTGTTCCCTCCCTGGGCTGGAGGGGTGTCCCAGTCGGGTGGGGGTCCCTGGCTTTGAGCAGGACCTCATCCTCCCTTCTCATTTCTCCGCAGGTGCCGGCGAGTCTGGGAAGAGCACCATTGTCAAACAGATGAAGTGAGTGGTCCCTACACTGTCACTGTGGCCAACACCACTCAGACCTCAGACCATTCCCCTTGGTCAGGGAAAGCTCCCCATCCGTGTTGCCACAGAGCACGTATGGGGAGCAGCACCCTGGGGTGCCCCACAAAGGGCTGACCTTGTCTGTGTCTCTCCCCTACCCCAGGATCATCCACGAGGATGGCTACTCAGAGGAGGAGTGCCGGCAGTACAAAGCCGTGGTCTACAGCAACACCATCCAGTCCATCATGGCCATCATCAAGGCAATGGGGAACCTGCAGATTGACTTTGGAGACTCCTCCAGAGCGGTGGGTGCTCTCCTGCTCTCACTACGCCTGGCAGGGATGGGGGTTCTTGGGGGCTAAAGCAAATGTGCCCAAAGCTGGACGAGGATTGAGGGTGGCCCTGCACAAGCCCTGTTGTTCCCTGGATGACTGTGTCCTCCTGTCTCTGGCACTGAGGATGGGGGGACTCAAAGCATAACCCATGGGTGGCTGCACTGGCACAGCCCCTGATGGGTGCAGAGGTGGGGGTCCTGCTACTTCCCTTGGGTCTCATCCCCATCCACCACTGGAGCTTCCACCGTGCTGTCCATGTGGGATCCGTTGGGCCCCAGTGAGGTCCTCTGGGGCAGAGTGAACTTTGCTAACCCTGTGCCAGTGCTGAAGCCCTGTTTTTTCCCTGCAGGATGATGCTCGGCAGCTGTTTGCGCTCTCCTGCACCGCTGAGGAGCAGGGCATCATGCCGGAGGACCTGGCCAATGTCATCCGGAGGCTGTGGGCTGACAATGGGGTCCAGGCCTGTTTCAACCGCTCCCGAGAGTACCAGCTGAACGACTCTGCTGCCTAGTGAGTGCCCCCGCTCCTCTGCCACAGCTGGGCTGATCTGGGCCCTGTGGACCGCGGCACTTTTATTGAGCAGCAGAAAATCCCTCTGGGGGCCTCTGTTCTCCATCGCCAGGCTTGGGGCTGGTGCCGCCACTTCCCACGCGATGCTGGGGCTGAGCCGGAGCAGAACTGGGAAGGCGGATGTTTCGAAAGCTGTTTCCTCCTCTGGTGGGGTGCTGTGTCCCCCGGGAGGGGGGGCACTGGGGCTTCTCCCTCCTTCCACTGCTCTGTGCCCTTTCTTGGGGGGTGCTTCTCAGTGACTCCCCCATATGAGCACAGCTGGGGTCCTGCCCACCCTCATCACCCTTCATGGGCCATGAAAAAAAACCCAAGGAAAGCACTGGGGACACTTAGATCTGAAGAGGATGAGTAGGATGTCCAAGAGGCTTTTCTTTTCCTTTTTAACTGATTTTATATGGAAAGACTCAGCTTTAAACTGGCACATTATCCAGCAAGCCAGTGTTTAGGTAGATAAATTGATGCATCTGGTTGGGTTTATCCTTGAAGAGATTAATAAATATAAGTTAATCTGACTAATGTATCACAGCTGGAGAGGGCAACACAGATGAGTCTGCATTTAGCTTGCACAGTGCCCTCGTGGTAAAGTGTGGCAGGGTAGCTCATGGTGAGCCAGGAACACCCCGCCAAGCCTGGCCCCACTGTGTGGGATTGAGCACACTTGGGACTTGCTGCCAACCCAGGGCTGTCCAACCCCCAGCTGTCCCCTCCTGCATGGCTCTGCTGGGTCCCCCTTCTTCATGGAGGTTGTTGTGGGGAAGAGGTTGCAGGAAAGCTCCTGGTGAGTGCCAACCCTGGAGAAGCTCCTGGTGGCGCTTTCCCCCAGCACCCATGGGTTTCACTTCCTCCTGACCGGCACACACCCACCCTCCTGGCTCCTGTCTGCTCAGCCCCATCAGTGAGGCATTTCCCCAGCAGTGGGTGCAGGGGACACTCAGCAGGTACCTGGCAGCTCACACATGGAGTTGGAGCAAGTGTATTTGCACAGCGTCTACAAGTTGTGTATTGCTGTTAGAGCTGTTAGGGTGAGGGTTGGACAGCCATTAATTAGGAGTGCCCTCAAGCTGTTGCTCCAGCCCTTTTCCAGCCCTGTGGATATGCCAGTGCAGTGGTTGATGCCCTGCCCATCCCATGGGGATGATGTTGTGCTCACTGTGCTGCTGGCAGAAGGAACCCAGCGATGAGGAGCCCTGTGCCGTGCCTGGCGTGCAGCCCACCAGTGCCCCAGCAGTGCCTGCAGCAGCTGCAGCCTCCTCCTCCACAGTGCCTTAGGGTTCCAGGATCTTGGGGTGCCAGGGTGGCGTTCACCAGCACCCCGGGGCTTGGCGCAAGGTCCAAGAGCCGCTGGCGCAGCGCAGGGCCCTGCTGCGGTGTTTCCTGTTTTTTTGTCAGCCGGAGGCCGTCTGTGTTTCCGGCTGTTTTTGAGCTGCTCCACAGCAGCAACGTGCCGGCCCCCCAGCCTCACGCACGGCAGGGTCCCGGTGCACCTCCGGCCCCGGCCTCGCCCCGGCACGCTGCAGGGTTTCCCAGGAGCTGGCGAGCGGCTGTGCTTCCGCCAGAGCCAAGGATCCCTATGGCCTTGCGGGCTGTAATCTGGCTTTCACCAGATTACGGCTCTGCAAATACCTTAATTAAGACAAGCCTAATTTGCTTAAAGGAGCCCGTTTGCAGTAACCCAATTAAAGCAATGTGAGCTGGAGAAATCAAAACCCGCCTTGATCCACCCCCAGCAGCTCTTGGTTGTCACGGTCACGGTCACGGTGGGTGCTGCACCTTGGGGACAGGCCACCACCGCTGCTGGGAGCCTGTGTGGGCAGCAGGGCAGGCGATGGCCGGGGATGGCTGCTGTGCTGCTCCCTGTCTCTCCGGCCACCCGCCTCCCGCTTCCTCCCAGGACGCCGTCCCTTTGTGTTTTTGACTATAAATGGCACGGCGCCATCAATTGTTTCCGCCGGCGCTGCGGCTGGTTGCCATAGCGCTGAATATTTTCCCCTTGCCATTTCCCCCCTGTGCAAACGGCCGGGGAACCGGGTGAGCCCCCCTGCTCCGGCTGCATCCTCTGCCTGGCTCCCAGCGCCAGCACACTGCTCCCCAGTCCCTTGATCCTGTGTGTCCTGTGCCACCCCTGGTGTCTGGCAGGGACATGGGGTGACCCAGGGTGCAGATGGGGCCCTCACTGTGCTACCCAGCTTGGCACTGCCCACTCTGAGTGGACAATGCTGGGAGATGGACAGGGGATGTTTGGTATGGTGTGGGGATGTCCCGTGGGATTTGGTGGGTTGTGCCCCACAGTCCAACTCCCACAGAGCCTTTCCTCTTACTCCCCAGCTACCTGAACGACCTGGAGAGGATAGCCCGTGCCGACTACATCCCCACCCAGCAGGATGTGCTGCGCACCAGGGTGAAGACCACCGGCATTGTAGAGACCCACTTCACCTTCAAGGACCTGCACTTCAAGTATGTCGGACCTTTTGCCTTCCCCACGGCAAAAAAACCCCCCTTCCTCCCCGGGATGGATGCTGGTTGCACACTGTGTGCACCAAGTTCCCCTAGCCCGGGTTTGCTCATGGCGGGAACTGCTGCCTCAGAGAGAGCGGAAACCGCTGAAAGAGCTGGAACAGCCTCAAAAGCGCGTCGCAGGGCTCAGCCCAGGGGCGGATCCAGGCTCTGGCACGGAGGGGAAGGGGGAAGGCATCCATCCTCCGGGTGCGGTGACGCTGCTTCCGCTGTGGGAAGGGCACTGGGGAGGAGCTGGGGTCTTGGGGTCAGGCACTGGCACTGCTGCCTGCTGGCACCCTGCAGCTGCTTTCCACTGAAACCCACGGGAAATAGTCAGGGCTCCAGTTTCTGAGGCAAAAAGCTGGCATTGCGCACATCCCAGGGGATTTAGTCCCATGGCAACAGAGCTGATGTCAGAAAGACCTGCTGGGGTCCTCTCTGAATGCGAGAGGCTCTCAGGGACCCCTGTGTCACCCCGGTGGGATGGAGATGCTTGGTCACACATCACCAGGACAGTGCTTTGGAGGTGGCAGTGGTGGGGGTCTAGAGGGAGGGAATGCAACGTGTCCTGGTGGGAATGCCTTCCTGCCAGCCGGGATGAACATGGCCATGGTGCTGCTGCTGGGCTCTTCCCTGTGGAGGCAGGGCATCCTCTGCTGCCTGTGGCAGGAGAGGCACATAGTGCACCTGGGATCATCCTTGAGCCCTTGTGCTCCTGTAGTCCTGCTGAGCCTGCAGCCACTTGGCTTCCCTTGGCCCAAGGTCTCTGGCACAGCCCCACAGTGCCCACTCTGGAGCAGATCCCCAGGAAGCATCACACTGACACTTCCTGGGAAAGGTGGCCTGATCCTGCCTCTGGCTCATGTCAGGGATCTGCTCCAGTTGGGAAAAGAGCCCGGACGCTGCCCTGTCCCTGAGACAGGCAGCAGGTGCTGGTCAGGTCTTCGGCACTGGCAAAACCCAGGGGCGGAGGCACCGTGCTGTGCCCATGCCAGCGCTGCTCCTGCTCTGGGCAGCTGGGGGCCCTGAGTCAGGGCATGGGGCGAGGGCTGTGGGGCCAGGAGCTGCTGCCCATCCCCACATCACCTCCCTGCTGCAGGATGTTTGACGTGGGTGGCCAGCGCTCGGAGCGGAAGAAGTGGATCCACTGCTTCGAGGGGGTGACTGCCATCATTTTCTGCGTGGCCCTGAGTGCCTATGATCTGGTGCTGGCTGAAGATGAGGAGATGGTGAGTCACAGGGATGGAGCCAGCACTGTGAGCCCTCCCCTCCTTGTGGGGCTGGGGGAGCACCCCGTCCTCTGGGGGCCACCAGTGTGGTCCAAGCCTAGAAGGTCCATTGGCATCCCTGCCTGGGCAGGCAGTAACATGGGAGGTGCCAGGGTGGGGAGCAGTGGGGTGGGTGCTGCTTGGGGCTCCCTGTCCAGCTCATGCTGCCATCTCCCCTACCAGAACCGGATGCACGAGAGCATGAAGCTGTTCGACAGCATCTGCAATAACAAGTGGTTCACAGACACGTCCATCATCCTCTTCCTCAACAAGAAGGATCTCTTTGAGGAGAAGATCGTGCACAGCTCCCTCACCATCTGCTTCCCCGAGTACACAGGTACCACCGGGACCTGCAGTGCCCCCCCTGTCCTCCTGGCAGGAGTATCGGGCTGAGTAGCAGGAGATGTTGGGGATGGAGATGGTGGCTCTCCTGTGACTGAGGAGCAGTGTGTTGGTGCAGAAAGCGGGATGTGGTGGTGTTTGGGGTGCCCCAGGGGATGGGGGAAGATGTGGGAGGACACAACACGGAGGCAGCAGCCCTAGGGGGTTAGCTGAGGCTCACTCTGCCTTTGGAGCATCAGTTTGGCATTGGGGCGGTGGCTGTGGCAGCACGGGGAGCCAAGCCAGGCCCAAAGCTCTTCGGTGCCTGTGGCAGGGGTTGCTGGTGGCCATGGGCAACTGTGGGGCAGCCCAGTGTCTCCTCCTCCCCAGGGGCCAACAAGTATGACGAGGCAGCCAGCTACATCCAGAGCAAGTTTGAGGACCTGAACAAGCGGAAGGACACCAAGGAGATCTACACCCACTTCACCTGCGCCACCGACACCAAGAACGTGCAGTTCGTCTTTGACGCCGTCACCGACGTCATCATCAAAAACAACCTGAAGGACTGTGGGCTCTTCTGAGGGTGGCGCTGCCCAGGTGGGTGATGAGCTCAGTGGTGGCCCCCCCAAATGGGGTGGTCATGAAGCATCCTCCAGGGAGGCGCTGGGCACTGCCTGCCAGCTGCAGGCTGCCCCCTGTCCCCAGACCCTCCCCTACTCACCCCTGCTCTCTCTCCTAGGACCCCCGAAGGAAGGACCACGCCACCTCCCACTCCTGCTTCTCTTTGGATTCATCCCTCTGTCCCCACCCCATAAAGAGACTTTTTGGGTGCCAGCACAGTGGCAGGGCCCAATGTCCCTCCTGCCGCCTGTGCTTGCCCCCCACCATTGTCCTCCTCCTCCTCCTCCTCCTCGCCAGCGTCGCCCTTCCCAGGGAAGACAAGGTTTTAATCTTGGTTTGTAACCCCTGAACCGCTCCAGCCCCGACTTCATTCACTCCGAGCCCTGGCGCTCTTCTCACTGTTTACATTGCAAGTGTTGCTGGCACGGGGGGCACAGGGTCCCCTCGGGGATGCCCACCCAGCCACAAACACGACCGATGACATTCCTTTTAGCAAACCAGAAAAGAAAGAAGAAAAAAAAAAAAAAAAAAAAAAAAAAAAACCCAAACCCAAAACCATGCAAAAAAAACCACACCACACCGGTTGGGATCAGGTTGCTTTTTAAAGAAACGTTTTTACCAAACTATTTAAAAGCATCAAGTGCTACGTGGTGGCGGCGTCCTCCATGGCCAGCCCACCCCCCAACCGTGTGCCTTGGGGGGGAGGGTCTGCACCCCACCCCGCCTTGCTGCCCCCCATCCCGATGGGCAGCCTGGGCAGGAGGGCGGGCAGGGGGTGCTGCCCGCTGCCTCTATCCCCCCCCCTCTTTGTAAGCCTAGTTTTTAGGTCTAGCTGTTGCGTTGGGCGAGGAGAGCCCGCTGTACAGAGTGGCCCCCCCTGTCCCCCCCCAGCCCAGGGGGGACCCTTCAGCCGGTGCCTGCGGCCTCGCTTTTCCCACAGGATGTTTTTCCGAATTGTTCACACGGTTTGAAATAATAAAATGTAGAAAGGAAAAAAAAAAAAAAAGGAAAAAAAACATGTACTGAAACCGCCTTTGTGACATGGGGGTGGGCAGGGGGGCTTCACCTCTGTGGGTGGGTTGAGGAGGGCCCTGGGGTGTAAGAGGGACTCGGAGGTGGGCTGGTATCCCACCAGGATCAGCAGAAACCCCTGGGTATGAGAGGTGGGAGCAGGGATGGGGCCCTCGGGGATGGAGCTGGGATGCTGCTTCAGGGCTGAGCCCACCCTGAGAGGGCTGCAGGGTGGGGACGGACACATGACCATGCCCTGGCTCTGCAGCAAGGGGGATGGGGGCACCCAGGAGGCCCTGGTATCACACAGTCCTTGGGGACACCCAGTGCCCTGGAGAACCCAGTGACCTGTAGCCCAGAGGGAGATGTAGCAATCCTTGCACCCAGCAGCCTGCAAGGAGTCCCAGGTTGATGGAGCATCCATGGGCACCCCACACCTGAGGGAATTCCAGCTCCAAGGGGTTCCTGGAGACTACCAACACTCCCCTCTCTAGGGGACACTCAAGGACACCAAGCAGCACCCAAGGGAACCCCCCAGCATCCCCCAGCTCCATGGTGCACTCATGGACACCCAGAAACACCCAAGGGACCCCCCTTGCCAGCAATGCCCAGCTCCAAAAGGAACCCAGGGACCGACAGCACCCAAGAGTATCCAGCGCCCTGCAGCACCCAGGGTCACTCAGGGACCCCCGGTGGTACTGGGTGCCCCACAGTGCTGGCTGGGGGGGTGGGGGGGCTGGTGGGGAGAGGGCGTGAGTTTGTGGCCCCAAACCAGGAGTGTCTCTGGGGCTAAGCAGGTCACATCCTGAGGGTTGGGGGCAAATAGAGCTGGTTGTGGAGGTGGGGTGGGGGGGCAACAGTGCTGGGTCCCGGAGGACGGGGAGACTGTACTGGGGAGGGGGCGCTGGGCTGGGGCTCAGAAGAGCCCGCAGTCCTTGAGGTTCTCCTTGATGATGATGTCGGTGACGGCGTCGAAGACGAATTTGACATTCTCGGTATCAGTGGCGCAGGTCATGTGGGAGTAGATCTCCTTCACATCCCGCCGCATGTTCAGCTCCAGGAACTGCAGCTTGATGTAGTTGCCCGCGTCGTCGTACGTGTTGGGACCTGGTGGCATGTCAGTGAGTGGGGTCTCCTCCTGGGCTGGGGTTCCCCCCAGGGTGCTGGCCCAGCATCACCCAACACTCCCTGGGGTGGGCAAGCCTTGTGTGGTCCCTTAGCAAGGCTTGTGCAGTGTCACTTACATGGGGTACTGAGGACACCTGGTGGGGGACTGTGGCGGGGTGGTGGCACCCAACCCTCCACCAGCACCTCACCACCAGCAGCCACTGCCACACTCACCGTCGTAGTCGGGGAAGCAGATGCTGAGATGGGCCTTCTTGATCTTCTCCAGGAAGACATCCTTCTTGTTGAGGAAGAGGACGATGGAGGTGGTGGCGAAGTAGCGGTGGTTGCAGATGCTGTTGAAGAGGTGCAGGCTCTCGTGCATGCGGTTCTGTGGAGGGACACGGTCCTGTAGTGACTCTCCACATCATGATGGGGACACAGCAGAGGGGGTGTGAGGTGGTAAGCCTTCCTCACCACTTCATCATCCTCCACCAGGACCATGTCGTAGGCGCTGAGGGCCGCGATGAAGATGATGCAGGTCACCCCCTCGAAGCAGTGGATCCACTTCTTCCTCTCTGAGCGCTGTCCACCCACATCAAACATCCTGGGCAGGACAAGGAAGAGTCAGTGTCCCCCGTGCCCCTGTCCATTGCTGACACCAGCCTTCATTAGAAGCCTGGTCCCCACCTGAAGTTGAGGTCTTTGAAGGAGAACTGGGTCTCGATGATGCCAGTTGTCTTGACCCGGGAACGCAGCACATCCTGCTCTGTGGGGACGTAGCCGGGGGTCACCAGGCGCTCCAGGTCTGACAGGTAGCTGGCCGGGCACGTGGTGGGCATGAGACATGGCTTGGCATCCAGTGCCTGACCCCTCCCCCTGCCCAAACCCCCCACCCCACGTACTAGCCTGCAGAGTCATTGAGCTGGTACTCGGAGGCACGGTCAAAGCAGGCTTGGATGCCCGTGTCCTTCCAGAGCCGTCCGATGATTTCCGACATCTCCTTGGGCATGGTGCCCTCCTCAATGGTGTCTGAGAGGTGCAGCAGCTTGCGGGCATCATCCTACAAGGGAGAGGGGTTCAGTGGGGCGGAGGGGCAGCAGGGACCCTCTGCCAATGTGGGATGCTCCTCACCTGGCGAGCCGTGTCCCCGTACTGGATGCTGAGGGTGGTCATGGCCCGCACGATGGCCAGCATGGACTGGAGTGTGTTGCTGTAGATGATGGCAATGAACTCCAGGCATTCCTCCAGCGAGTAACCGTCCTGGTGGATGATCCTGGTCAGAGAGGGAGGTATGGGGCTGAGCTGGGTGCAATGGGGCTGAGCCACACGCTAAGGGGTGGGCGCAGCCCATGGATGTGGCATGGGGCAGAGCCAGCCATGGTGGGACAGGGGCACCCCATGGCTGTGTCGTGGGACAGGCACATGGCACTGTGGGGCATGGCCAAGTGACCCCTCCTTGGCACTTACTTCATCTGCTTGACAATGGTGCTCTTCCCCGACTCTCCTGCTCCTGAGGGGACAGAACACAGGTCATGGCAGTGCCCATGATAAACTGTGCCTCACACTGTCCCACTGGGACCCCTGGAGTCTGACACGGCTCGAGGGCCCTGTTGGCCATGCCAGATCCATGGCACAGGGTGTGCAGACGGATTACAGCCCGGTGCCAGTGGCATTAAGACCGGGCTGAGCCACTGTGGCTAATGGGATCTGCAGCAGCTCAGCCGGGAATGCACTTGGGGACCCAAGGGAGGGGTTGGGGACATGGTGGCATCGCAACCCCAGCACCCAGCACTCAATTCCCTAAGTCTGTTGGCAGTGCAGAGGGACATGACCTGGGCCAGGCCATGAGTGCAGCCACATCACACACGGCCTCACCAAATACAAGGCATCCCAATCCTCAGGCACCACCGGGAGGGATGGGGAAGGACCTGCAGCACAAGGGGGCTGCATGGGGGTCCTTAGGAGGAGGGGGTGCTGACAGGGTGGGGTGCTGTTAGGTGCTCTTGGTGAAGGCTCTTGAGATGGATTGTTTGGGGTTGGGGGGCCTGGGAGTGGGGGGATGTCGGGGTAGCTGGTTGGATTTAGGGGTGTTGATGGGGAGAGGAAAACACTGTGTGGGGTTTTGGGGTTGGCTGTTTGGGTTTAGGAGTGCTGAGAGTGAGGGAAATGGTAGATTGTTGGGAAGGACTGGTTGGGTCTAGGGGTGCTGGGGGTGTGAGGGAAACATGCGGTGGGTTGTTGGGGTGTGCTGGTTGGTTTTAGGGGTGCCAAGCAAGTCAGGGGACTGTTAGGGTGGGCTGGTTGGGTTTAGGGGTGCTTAGGAACAGGGGCTGTTGTGTGGAGTGTTGGACTGGTTGGGTTTAGAAGGCAGTTAGAGAAACTTTGGTTGGGTTATTGGGGAGGGGTTGGTTGGCTTTAGGGATGTCTGGGAGTGTGAGGTTGTTGGGGACACTTTTGGGTTGTGCTGGCTTGGTTTAGGGGTGCTGGAGTCATCAGGGAAAATTGGGTGGGCTGTTGAGGTGGGGAGGTTGGGTTTAGGGATGCCTGGAAATGGGGGTGCTGTTGGAGTGGGTTGGTTGTTTTTAGGAGTGCTGGGGGAGTCAGGGGAATGTTGAGTGAGCTGTGAGGGTGGGTTGCTTGGTTTTAGGGGGTCCACCTGGGGGCCAGGGGAACATTGGATGGGCTGGTTGGGTTCAGGGGGGCTGTGGGGTGTGCTGGTTGGGTTCAGGGGTGTTGGTAGTTGCCAGAGGAACCTTGGGTGGGCTGTTAGGGTGGGATGCACAAAGGATAGGTATGCCCCCCGGGGTGTCATCTCCCCCTTACCCAGCAGCAGAAGCTTGACGGTCCTGGCATCCTTCTCAGCGTCTTCCTTGAGCTTCTTCTCCAGCTCCCGGGAATGCTTCTCCTCGGCACTGGCCCCGGCGCCCATCCTCGGCCCCGCGGCCCTGCGGCTCACCACCCGCTCCTTGGAGGTCAGCACCAGGATGGGCAGCGAGTTCCAGCCCCCCGCCGCCTCCAGCGCTCGCTCCCTGCGCCCGCCGCCGCCACCGGCGCCGCTGCCCACCCGATGTGGGACAAGGACGGAGCCAAGGTCCCGGGGGGCCGCCTGCCAGGGGGCTGCGCTCAGCACCCGGGGCTTAAGCCAGGCCCCCCCGATAAACCCCCTTCAATCTGCACCGGGCTGAGCTCAGCAATCCTGTAGCTCCCAGTGTCAGCGCTTCTGCCGGGGAAGGGGGGGGCCCAGACCAACCAGCCCCTGCTTTGCCCCTGCCCTGGGGCTGGGGCTGTGACCTGGCCACCCTGGGGGATGTGAGACCCCTACTCCAGCTGCAGCTCTGCTGTGGATCCCAGCGGTTTGGAGTTGGGGGGATGAGAGTGTGTGTCTGCTGGGGTCTGGTCACAGTGTGTGGAAATGTCCCCGTTGTCCCCATCTCAC